GATGAATTATTTTAATGGTCACTATTTTATTGTTGGCACAAAAATAATATAAACATCAAATGAAGGATTTTATATGCATGCATAAGCATGTAAATATACACATTTACATATATACAAATCCACACAATACGTGCATTTGTTTTAGGTAGACCTCTCTATATGTCTGTCTATCTTTGGTACTAACTTTTTTCTCTCTTTTTAGTTTTTGTAATGCAATTATACTTTTTAGCTTGTTCGTCAGAGCCATTAAAATGATTTAGCATGACATTCAACGGACTATTAAATTTTTTACTACCATTTGTGCAGCTTTAACTTTATACAAATGGGCGTATACTAGTGTATTTGAGTTTTGTGGCTCTGAGTCTTCGAGCTCCATGGCTAGAACGAACGCAATTTTCGACTACATGTAGCACTAAAAAATTTATTGCGTACAATTAGGTGTTATATAGAATTGTTAAATAATTAAATAAAATACAGGTTTTGCAAAAATTGAAATATATCAAATTTGGCATTCACATTCTTTTTTTTAATGATCTTTTGCATTTAATAAACATTTTGTGTGATTTAAGCGCCTTGAAGTGAGCATTGATGGACAATATTTATTTTTTAAATATATTGCATACAATTAGGTGTTGTGTAGAATTGTTAAATAATTAAATAAAATACAGGTTTTGCAACAATAGACATATATCAAATAAAGCATTCACTTTCTTTAATTTTTTTTAATGATCTTTTGCATTTAATAAACATTTTGTGTGATTTAAGCGCCTTGAAGTGAGGTTTGATGGATAATATTTATTTTTTAAATATATTGCATACAATTAGGTGTTCTATAGAATTGTGAAATAATCAAATAAAATGCAAGATTTGCAAAAATTGAAATATATCAAATAAAGCATATACTTTCTTTCTTTATTTTTAATGAGATTTTACATGTAATAAACATTTTGTATGATTTAAGCGCCTTGAAGTAAGCAATGATGGACAACATTTTTTAAGCAAAAAAAAGATTTTTTATAAAAATTCTGAAGTGAGTTTGAAATATTTAAAGCTTGCAAATATTATTAAAATGTAATTGCATTATTGAGTAAATAGTAACAAAAATTATACCTACAAAAAATTGAATTTTAATTGAAATTAAGTTTCTCATCTAACCATGCGGCTGCTTTGGATATTGCCAATTATTATTATTATGCCAATTTTTAGATTTCAAGTACTAAAACTGAAATTCAACATGAATCGTGTGAAAATTGAAGCACAGACATACGTACTAGACACTTCAGCCAACTGGTACTGGATATATGTTCTTCAAATTTGTTGTACGTAATTGGCTCAAGTATTTAGCACTTATTATTATTGCTATGGGATGTGGTACTGCGACCGTCGGGTCTATTGTGACAGTTTTTGGGCTTAGAGCAGGTCTCTAAGCTTTGTTGCGTCAATAAAAAGAAGTATAGAACCTACTTTACAGAGTTTTATTGTCTCGTCCGTAAGGGTATACATTTCCATAAGTGTATACCGTTCGTGCATTAGCGCAGTGCATTCTAACAACACATGTGTGGCTGATTCCTCATTCTCTTCGCAGAATCTGCAGTTTGCATCCATATATATTTTCAGTTTCGTAAAGTGTTATATTAGTTAGATTTTATTTTAGATTTCTGTGATGATTCTCAATTTTTCTTTTGGTAGGTTCATAAAATCCTGGTATCCCTTACTGTTATAGGTACTAATAAGCGATTTCAATTGTATTAATCTTGACATATTATCCCAGTAATCTTTTTTGTTCTGCTTCTTCTTTATTTTTATGAGGGAAAGGAGCGTATTCTGTATAATCCACAGAATGGTTCCGGCCCCATCAGCGGTATGGCTGCTCCTTTTCTGACTAGATTGTCTGCTTATTCGTTTCCGCGAGTAATATATTCATACCATTATATAATTATAAATGATAAAAAAGTTTCATATTTAATTTTATATTTTGTTTGTTTAATTTAATCGTTTTTCTTAACTAAAGCTTGCAACATATAGAGACAAAGAACATATATAACTCGCGTACCCCAGTATGTCCAGGTACCCACAGAATCAATACCTGATTTGATTCGCTTAGCATTTCGCACTTAAGTCCGCTTTTAAATTTTTCAAGGTTCGAGATCAACCTTTGATTCAATCTTTGAAATCAAAAATTTAGTACATGCAATTGATTTAAATAAATATTTTCAAAGTACTTAACTTTTTTTAGATTACTTAAAGAGTGTATTTAAAGATTTTTTAAAATTGTACCATAATTTTTTTAATTAAATTATTTATGGTATTTTCTATTACTATTTAACATAAAGTGTACTGTATTTTATTTTAATTAATTTTGTCATTTAGTTATAAATAAATGACTTTATAAATAATTAACAATTAATTTAAAGCATGTACTGGAGTATGTATAAAATTTTTATAACTCCCTCATATCATTGCATTAAAGACTGCATTTAATGGCGTCCAAACCACCAAAAATAATATGATATGAAAATTCTATAAAGAGTCCACTAAGGAAGCATCAAAAAATTTATTACCAAAGTAAATCTAATAGCATCAAAGGCACTAAATGCCGTAACAATAAAGCTTATATACCATTTAAGATATCCTAAATAAAACCAGTTATTACAATGCATCGAACTTAATATATTTTTAAATAAATGGTCAAAACCTCTTTATAGACTATTTGGCATTCGAAAATATTTTACGATTTCATTCATACGTATAAATATGCCAACCAAACTCATGAGTTTCTATACAGCGAGTTTCCAGCGAAAGTCTATGGCTGCTGCTAATAATACCTATAAATGATAATAGCATCCTTTTGTTGTATTTTGTTTATTTTTATTATCATTTTTGTTCTCAATCAAAATTTTATTGGAGCGAGCATACGTAGCCATAAAATTTTTTTATGTACTTCATAGAAAAGCATCTCCCCATAAGTGTGGAGCAAATCAAACATATATAGTGAATGAAGTCATAAATATTCGAACACATATTTCGTAGCTTATTTAAGCGTCAATTTTTTTTTTTTTTTGATTTTATGATGTGGTTTATATATATGCGTACACACTCGAATTTTTATAGCTAACATTAATCTGTTGCGCAATTTTAGGCACATAATAAATAAACAATATTTAGTTCAATCATTTTACTATACTTAATATGCTTTAAACCCATTGCAGTTTTTCGCTAGCTTTACGAAAAAGTACACTTAATAGGAAATTAACTAATTTAAAAATGATTTCTAGGTGTATGCATAAGTTTTTTCCGGTTTAAATAAGAGATGGCGCAAGCGAAAAGTATGTAACCTATTAATTTGACACTTACGCCATTTTGTTCGACTGACATTTAACTAGACACACATAGAAGTTAATTCCATCAAAAACTAGCATATTCGGTTTAGTGATCATGTCAAATTTTGTACCTGTAAAAGAACATTAAAAATAAATAAAAAATAAAAAATGACCGTTCCTCAAGTCAGCCATTAAAAACTCCACTCTATGGAGATATTAAAGCCGTTCCATGTAGTGATGTACTTACAATCAGTGAAAGACCCATCATAACGATAATCCATTTTGAGAACACCCCAACGCTGCTTCGGTCTACATTAATTGTATGACACTAACCTGAAGGAATATAAATATGTTTAAAGCAGATGTCTGAAATATAGGAAGCTTCATCTTAATCGAATACAAGCAAAATAATCAATTTATTTATCTCATCAAATCACCTAACAGTGTGAAAGAAACATAGCCATCTTAGTTTCAGGGAATTATGGAAAAAATAAATCGAATAAGGAACATAATAAGACACGTTCTTTAACTCCAAAATTGCAGTCCTGCAGTATTTCTCGATTAGTTTATAAAATATCGTACATTGATTCCTATGAAAGTCTCTATTTATTACCGGCAAACGTGCAATGCTGCTTAAAATCGTATCTAAAAAGTTCAACAACAAAACAGCTGGCGTTCCACAAGAAAGTATCTCCAGCTCTTGTTCTTCACATATCTTGTATCCCTATAACGTGGAGAAATAGTTGCCAATATAGCAAACAAAAATCAATGGATTCATATTAAGGCACGCCGTTTTTACTCAAAATAAGAGTAACTCTCCAGCATTTTTAATATTTAGACTATTAACTAACTCAACGCAAGCAAACTGAAACCAAGATGCCACCTGTGCCTGTTGCACAACCTATGTTTGTATAACAACATTATAAAGCCAATGTGGACTAATGTCAATCACTTTTTTGGTAATGGTAATGCTTTAAACATTTAAACTTTCCACACAGCTCACTCATAAATACTAAAACCAATTATGGGCGCTCCATTGCACCCATGTATTAGAGATGGCAGTAACCTCCGAGATTTCACGACATGTTCACTTAGTTTTAACTGAGTTTGAAGAAGAAACACAAGTTTTTGTTTAGTGCAGTCTACAGCAAGGGTTTCAAACCACCGATGCGTGGATGGGTTACCACCAGACCATATCATGTTTTTGTCTATAACATTATATTTCGAGGCGACAAAAAATTTTAACTCAGCAGTACATTTTGGAATGTGAAGCATTGATGTAAAGAGTTATTTTTATAGTGTTTAATAAAGCAACTCACACTCATTAACACTCATTAATGTCACTTAGCCCTAATGATTTAAATGAGACTTATAAAACTTAAATATCTTATATTATATTTTTCACGATTGAGAGATTTCGAAAAGTAATGAACTACAACAACAAAAAATTTTATTTTATATTATTTTAATTAATTGAATTTTTGGCTGACCAAAGTGTGGTTCAAATGTAGTTGTTGTTGTAGTTCATTACTTTTCGAAGCCTATGTATGAAATACAGTAGCTTCAATAAAGTAAAATAGACACATCCGTAGGTTGATACATATATTTTAAAATTGTTTAAACTTTATTGTAAATAATTCTTTATATAAGAAGTAATAATTTCAACTTGTATCTTTTCAGGTGGCCTTCAAATTGAGAACAGTCGTGAAGAAGATCAAGGAAAATATGAATGTGTTGCTGAAAATTCTGTTGGTACTGAACATTCGAAGGCTACTAATTTGTATGTAAAAGTACGTCGCGTGCCACCAACTTTCTCACGTCCACCAGAGCCACTCAGTGAAGTCATGCTTGGCGCTAACTTAAATCTATCATGTATAGCAGTTGGATCACCCATGCCACATGTAAGGTGGATGAAAGGTACGTAAATAAAATTTTTTTACGGTTCTATTAGCACACTAAATACTATACTTTTGCATAGGTGGCATGGACTTAACACCAGAAAATGATATTCCAATTGGACGCAATATTTTGCAATTGAATGGTATACAACAAAGTGCAAACTACACATGCATAGCTGCATCATCTTTGGGTCAAATTGAATCTACAGCTGTTGTTAAAGTGCAGTGTAAGTTTATTTCTTGAATATTACAAAAAAAAAAAAAAATATGGAAAAAATTATGTATAATAAAGATATCCATAAATCTCTTCAAATTTCTTCACTGCACTAGTAATTGACAAGCTATCTTTTTTTGTATTATAGCCTTACCAACTGCTCCGACTGATGTGCAAATTTCAGAAGTCACCGCAACATCAGTGCGTCTTGAATGGTCTTATAAAGGCCCTGAAGACTTGCAGTACTACGTCATTCAATATAAACCCAAAAATGCTAATCAGGTAATGATTAGGCTTACATATAATTGTTAAAAGTATATATGAATTGATAACAATTTATTTATATTTAATTTTTCAGGCTTTTAGTGAAATCAGTGGCATAATAACTATGTTCTATGTTGTGCGCGCTTTGAGTCCCTACACTGAATACGAGTTTTATGTTATTGCTGTGAATAATATTGGGCGCGGTCCACCTTCTATACCAGCGACTTGTACCACTGGTGAGACAAGTAAGTACAATTGAATTTCCCTTACAATTTATTACAGAACTTTGTTAAATAAGAGCAATATTAAGCAAAATATTTTTCTAAGTTTCGTCAGTGGACATGTGTCAACATTTAAACAAAAATAATATAACCTAGGACATACTATATGTTTATTTATGTGTATACATACATAGTTTTGCTACTTTTCTTTAACAAAGCTCTTACTTTATAGCTCTGTAGATATGTATAGTTATAAATAGCAGGTTTGATTGCTAGCTTTATAGTTCTAAATATCATTATCATTAATCATAATAACTTTTTGCTTAACAACACTACTTTCTTCTCTTTCTCTCATGCTGCGCAAAGGATAATTATAATAATATGTTTATCGTGTTTATTATTTTTATAAGTTTAATAAAAATTTTATGTTCAATGTAATTTATAAATAATTTTATGCGTTCTGCAATATTGAAAAAATATTTTTTTCATATTTTTTAATTTTATTCGCATTTTATTTTAGTTTTTGTTTTATTTTTATTTCATTTTTATTTTATGTTTATTTTATTTTTATTTTATTTCATTTTATTTTATTTTTATTCTTATTTTATTCTTATTTTATTTTATTTTATTTTATTTTTATTTTATTCTTATTTTATTTTATTTTATTTTTATTTTATTTTTATTTTATTCTTATTGTATTTTTATTTTTATTTTATTTTTATTTTATTTCATTTTTATTTTATTTTTATTTTATTTTTATTTTATTTATTTTATTTTTATTTTATTTTTATTTTATTTTTATTGCATTTTTATTTTCTTTTTATTTTTATTTTATTTTTATTTTATTTTTATTTAATTTTTATTTTATTTTATTTTATTTTTATTTTAATTTTATTTTAATTTTATTTTAATTTTATTTTAATTTTATTTTATTTTATTTTTATTATATTTTATATAGTAATTTTTTTGTTTTTTTTATTGTTATCTTATTTTATTTTTATTTTATTTTATATATTATTTTTTTTATTCTCTTTTTATTTTATTTTTATTTTATGTTTATTTTATTTTTATTGCATTTTTATTTTCTTTTTATTTTATTTTATTTTTATATTATTTTTAAACTATTATTTTCATTTGTAATTATTTCAATTTAAAAAATAATTTTTTTTTTACGCCTATACTTTACAAATAATTTATTTTTTATTTTATATATTTTTATATATACATATATATTTTAGAATTTTTTTTAATATTATTTTTCATTCTTCATTCTCACTCATTTGTATCTTAACATTATACTTAAAAAAATCATATCTTTTTATTTCACACAAAAAAAAATGCTCCATGGACTTTATAGGCGATTTCACATTTGGCGGTGCAAGTAAGTTTATTTTCATATAACTAGAAATCGTCTCAAATACTTTTATGCTAAGAATTCTTATATAAAAAACAAGCTATACAATTATTATTTCTTAACAAGATAGATGAAATATCTAATACTTTAATCTGTTAATAAAGATTCATTTAGACGCATTAGTGATTTTATATTCTGATATGCTAAAAAGCAAGTGAAAATCAGAAGAATATTAGAAGCTTTATTACATATTGCATATATTTTAAGTGGGCCTAAGGAAATTTAAAGTAATAGGCGTTTTCTATCCTTATGTGATCCTAAGTTGCTATCAGTTTTGTGTGGTTTCTAAGTACAATATGAACTGCTAATTCATTTCCCAACGTGTTATTCATAAACATTAATCAAGTTTTTTAAACTCAGACATAATAGTTCTTTTTTAAATTTTTTTTAAAGTTTTTATTATTGTGATTTTTTCTGTTTTATCCATTTACCATAAATTCTCACCGTATATAGACATTTTTCTTGAGATATTCATAGCATTACTTTTCTCTTACTTTGTTAAGGCTTATATGTTAGTTAGCTGTACTTAATAGTACTATTGTACGAATACTAAAGTATTGTGATTATAAAATACTTTATCTCGTTTAAATCAAACCCTTTAATACGTTATATAAAGCTTATGAATAAAGTTTATGAATATACTATAGACTATATCTCTACTTGCTTTGCATCACGAAACTAGAACACTGAAGTATTTTAATATAGTTATATTACATACTTATAAATAAGTGTATGTACCAAAACTTGTATATGTTTAAATAGCAGATAATTAAAATTTTAATTAAACACGCCTAGCACATTGGTGTAATCGATATTTGTGACAAAGTCTTGAACGAGCATTATCGGTGCCCTCTGTATGTACATTAGTGGAAAACAGTAGCGTAATAGTGTGGAACAGCTCAATAGAGACGTCGTTATATGTGGGGATGACGAAGCTATTGTAGGTGAAATGAATTCAAGTAAGATTTTACCGATGTGGATAGTATGAGTTTCACTTATTCAATTTCATGACTACGCTCATCATCACTCGAGTTATTAAGTTGACTATGACAGTAGTTTTGTTTTTGAGTTTGGTGAAAATAAAAAACGTTTTAATATTTTGTTGAATTACCTATTCTTCAATGTGATCGAATATATTTTGCAATATCTTTGCCATACCCATTTTTAATTCCACGCTAATAAAATTTCGTTATTCGCTGACAAAACTACTCCCATTCATTCATTTCTGCTATCCTGGTTTAAAGTGCAGCTTCTGTTTTCTGAAAAATATTGTACGTTGGATTAAACTCAGAGATAGAGCTGAAGACCACATAGAGTACTATCCAAGCTCTAAAAATGTTTGGCTATTTACCAAACGATTGTGAGGTCTTGCATTATTTTAATAAAACAGTATTATTTTGATTTTGATTATAGTAGTTCTGGTCTTATTTATTTGAGTGAATAATTAAATTTTTATACAGCTGATGAGAACACACCTTAGAACTGATCGTAAGATTACTTGCTAGAAGCTGAAAGAAAAAACTATTCCCTAAAAATTGCACGAATATCTTCAGCTGATACCTTTGACATTTTACATTATTATAACATAGATAATCCATTTATGGTCTACAAAGATGAATTCACTTTATAAATTGACAGTTGGCATCAATGTTTGGAAGCAAGTCAGATACATCAATGCGATTTAATAAATGATCTTCTGTCAGAATATGTGGAACGTATATATCAATTTTGAAAATTAAACGAAAACATTGCATGTAATCGCAAATGCTTCAATTTGATAATATAAATATATGATGTCGTGAGCTATTTATTATATGTCATCTTTTAGCACTCAATGCCTTTATCTTACAGTTGTAACTAGTTTTCAAGAACGCACTATATCGTCATCAAAACATAAAACTGATTAATATTCAACTTTACAAAGTATAACTTTGGCATTAGCATGCTGTCAATATATGTTCTTCATATATATCGGAAAATATCATTTTTCTTACACTGACAACATTTTACCCTTTTCGATAGTAAAAAAACATTGTTTTGATGAATTTTGGTGGATTAACATGAACCAAATTTATATTTTGGCCAGCTTCGCTATATCATCTTTTAGTATATATAAAGAAAATACGGCTAAGTATGAAGTTAGAAGTGACAATATAGTATATATAAAAATCATCTTTAAGAAGAAATAAGTTTGAAAGCAACCCACTATTGTCAAAAAAGAATGAGAGAAAATTTTTTTTTATAATTAAATAATAAAAATTTCCGCAATATTATGTACGATAGCTATAGGTATATACTTTTGGAATAATAACACATGATTGTATATATTGAATTTAAACTAGGTAGCCACAAATTTTTACAATTTTCCTCAACCATGCCATATTTGTGTTATACAAATAAATATGCTCACATATCCATATAGAAAATGCTACCTTTTTAATTGGTAATTCTGATTTGACTGTCTGCATAACACGCCTTCATCGTCATGCCAATTGTGTTTTGATTGTCTTAATAGCAATTTTTCTTATAAAGTCAAAGTAATCACTTTGCAATCATCACTCTATGTAAAATGCATATAATTGAATATATTGTCTAACTATATATTATAAGTGCTTCAAATATTATTGGCTGTAATAAAAGTTTTCAGCAATTTGATTGTTGGCTATGCAAGTAGTTGGGCATATGATCCGAGCCCAGTGAATCGCTCGATTATGTTTGATGTTTAAGCATAGTTGTGTTCAGGTATTAGATCTTATTCGTAATTCCATAAGACAAAATGAATGTAAATTGAAAGTCACACATTTATAAGTAGCTTGTACGTTCTCGAATATTTAAGGTGTGGGTAAACCATATGATTGAGTTGAAGTATACTGACCAAACCTGACCAAACATTATAGTGTTTAAATGCTTAGCAGAACTAATCGCAACACATCTATGCCATGAAATCAGAGAATTTATTTGTTATAGATTATACTGGAATTCGTAAATTCTATTCCCATTAAAGACCACCACATTTAGTCGAATACCTACTCACATTATCTCAACAGAAATAATAAAATTTTTGTACTCAAACCGTTTCAAAAGGTAACAAAATAATAAAATGCATATTGTGTAAAATTTCGTACGTTTACGATGCGTTTTCTTCAGGTGAAATGCGTACCTATTTCTGGTACGTACTACATATTAATATGATAGCTACTTTTCGGTCGTGGAGTTTATTGCCGGGCGATCAAAAATAATAGCTGAATTTTAAATTCGGAAAAAAAAATGAGAATTCAGAAAATCTCATCGAAAAAATAAAAATGATTACGAGAAACAAACAAAAAACATAAAAACTGCAAATATAATGTTTAAGTTTTGCGCGCCAGATAAGCACTGACAAGCCAGCTCGAACCGCCGAAAAATATGCTTTGCTTTTTATAGTTTTTACAGAAGCCAAGAAAAAACTTTTAAAATTTTCAAATTCAGACTGCAAGCAATAACAAAAAAATACGCAGAGGAGAAAATGAAAACAGGAAGTTTGAAGGCAGCAACTACAAAACATAACCGATATCGGAATTGTTATTGAAATGATGATGATATTGAATACGATAAGGATAATTGCCGCAAT